ATTCCTCCCTAGCTCCCACTCTCCACCTCTCTTACCCAAGCTGGCTGGCTGCCATGTAAACACTCATAAAGCACCACACCTCCACCTTGCCTCAACCATACCCCAGCCAGCCTACCTCTCATACTTCTGCTGAAATCCCTTAATCATGCAACTTTAATTACTATACTATTAAATCAGTAGAAGTTTGTGGTTATAGGAAAGTGAGTGTGGGAGGAAAGAAGAGCGATTGGTGGAATGATAATGTAGAGAGAGTAGTAAGAGAAAAATAGTTAGCATATGAGAGGTTTTTACAAAGTAGAAGTGATGCAAGGAGGGAGGAGTATATGGAGAGAAAAAGAGAGGTTAAGAGAGTGGTGAAGCAATGTAAAAAGAGAGCAATGAGAGGGTGGGTGAGATGTTATCAACAAATTTTGTTGAAAATAAGAAAAAGTTTTGGAGATTAATAAGTTGAGCAAGCCTACAGAAGAATGGATTTGTTAGTTAAAAATAGGAGAGGAGAGTTATTAAATGGCGAGTTAGAGGTACTGGGAAGATGGAAGGAATATTCTGAAGAACTGTTAAATGTTGATGAAGATAGGGAAGCTGTGATTTTGTGTACAGGGCAAGGAGGAATAACATCTTTTGGGAGTGAGGAAGAACCAGTTGTGAGTGTGGGGGAGGTGCGTGGGGCAGTGAGTAGAATGAAAGGAGGTAAAGCAGCTGGGATTGATGGTCTAAAGATAGAAATGTTAAAGATAGGTGGGGATACAGTTTTGGAGTGGTTAGTGTTTTTATTTAATAAATGTATGGAAGAGGGTAAGGTACCTAGGCATTGGCAGAGAGCACGCATAGTTCCTTTGTATAAAGGCAAAGGGGACAAAAGAGTGTAAAAATTATAGGGGAATAAGTATGTTGAGTTCTAGGTAGTAGTTTGGTAAACAGCAACCGCCCAGGGAGGTACTACCGTCCTGCCAAGTGAGTGTAAAACAAAAGCCTGTAATTGTTTTACATGATGGTAGGATTGCTGGTGTCCTTTTTTCTGTCTCATATACATGCAAGATTTCAGGTACGTCTTGCTACTTCTACTTACACTTAGGTCACACTACACATACATGTACAAGCATATATATACACACCCCTCTGGGTTTTCTTCTATTTTCTTTCTAGTTCTTGTTCTTGTTTATTTCCTCTTATCTCCATGGGGAAGTGGAACAAAATTCTTCCTCCATAAGCCATGCGTGTTGTAAGAGGCGACTAAAATGCCAGGAGCAAGGGGCTAGTAACCTCTTCTCCTGTATATATTACTAAATGTAAAAGGAGAAACTTTCGTTTTTCCTTTTGGGCCACCCCGCCTCGGTGAGATACGGCCAGTGTGTTGAAAGAAAGAAAGAAGTATGTTGAGTATACCTGGTAAAGTGTATGGTAGAGTTATTACTGAAAGAATTAAGAACAAGATGGAGAGTAGGATAGCAGATGAGCAAGGAGGTTTTAGGAAGGGTAGAGGGTGTGTAGCCAAAGTGTTTGCAGAGAAACGTGTAGGTGAAAAGTAATTAGATAAGGGTAAAGAGGTATTTGTGGCATTTATGAATTTGGAAAAGGCATATGATAAGGTGGCTAGGGAGGCAATGTGGCAGATGTGGCCAATATCTGGAACAGGAGGTAGGTTATTGAAAGCGGTGAAAAGTTTTTATGAGGATAGTGAGGCTCAGGTTAGAGTATGTAGGTGAGAGGGAGATTATTTCCCAGTAAAAGTAGGCCCTTAGACAGGGATGTGTGATGTCACCATGGTTGTTCAATATATTCACAGATAGAGCTGTAAGAGAAGTGAGTGCTCAGGTGTTGGCAAGAGGTGTGGGGTTAAAAGATAAAGAATCTAACACAAAGTGGAGTTGTCACAGTTGCTTTTTGCTGATGACACTGTTTTTGGGGGATTCTGAAGAGAAGTTGCAGAGGTTGGTTGATGAGTTTGGTAGGGTATGTAAAAGAAGGAAATTAAAAGTGAATATAGGAAAGAGTAAGGTGATGAGGATAACAAAAAAGTTAGGTAACGGAAGATTGGATATCAGATTGGAGGGAGAGAGTATGGAGGAGGTGAATGTGTTCAGATATTTGGGAGTGGATGTGTCAGCAGATGGGTCTATGAAGGATGAGGTGAATCATAGAATTAACTAGGGGAAAAAGGTGAGCAGTGTATTGAGGAATCTGTGGAGACAAAGAACTTATCCATGAAAGCAGAGAGGGGAATGTATGAGAGTATAGTTATACCAATGCTCATGTACTGTGAGGCATGGGTTGTGAATGTTGCAACAAGGAGAAGGCTGGAGTCAGTGGAGATGCCATGTCTGAGGGCAATGTGTGGTGTGAATATAATGCAGAAAATCCGTAGTTGGAAGATTAGGAAGAGGTGTGGGATTACGAAAACTATTATCCAGAGGGCTGAGGAGGGGTTATTGAGATGGTTTGGACATGTAGAGAGGATGGAACAAAATAGAATGGCTTTGAGAGTGTATAAATCTGTAGTGGAGGGAAGGCAGGATTGGGGTCAGCCTAGGAAAGGTTGGAGGGAGGGGGTAAAGGAGGTTTTGTGTGTGAGGGGCTTGGACTTCCAGCAAGCGTGCGTGAACATGTTAGATAGAAGCAAATGGAGACAAAGGGCTTTTAGGACTTGACCTGCTGTTGGAGTGTAAGCAAGGTAACATTTATGAAGGGATTCAGGGAAACCGGCAGGCTGGACTTGATTCCTGAAGATAGGAAGTACAGTTCCAGCACTCTGAAGGAGGGGTGTTAATGCTGCAGTTTTATAACTGTAGTGTCGGCATGCCTCTGGCAAAACAGTGATGGAGTGAGTGATGATGGAAGTTTTTCTTTTTCGGGCCACCCTGCCTGGGTGGGAAATGGCTGATGTGTTAATAAAAAAAAACTGAAAAAAATTAACCAAATCAAGTAGCAATGTAGTGAAAATGTAGCAGTGTACAGTACTGCAACCTAAGGAAACAGCCATTAACGGGTAAAGAGACACTTCTATGTACTTCCCCAGTTGACCTAAAATATAGCAGATGTACTAGACTTTTACTATAGTGGAACCTCAGTATGCAACCATAATTCATTCCAGAAGGCTGTTCAAGTGCCACTCCATTTGAGTATCGAACAAGTTCTTCCCAACCAATTTTCTGTTTGGTTGGCTGTTATCACTAATCTTCGTAGGCCCCATGGCAACTTATTTATACAATACAAAAAAAAAATGTGAAAAAACACGAAACAGTTTACAGCGAAGTTCTGGCAGGTCGCATTTGTTTGGTCGAGTGCTGAGCTTTGTTCAAGTAGGGAGCTGGTCATATACATGTACTGAGGTTCCACTGTATATATAGTAGTAACAATATATAACGACACTCCTCAATTGAGTCAATTTATTTAGTTACCATGTGACAGGGAAATACCTTTTCTTATTTTCTATCTTTACAAATATATGTTAATGGCATTTGCATATGCTCTACAATAATTAAAACTCACCATAGCTAACATGATAGAGAGACAATTGTAGTGAAAAGACAAAGACCTAGTATAACAACTTTCACTTAAATTCTAATGGTGTGTCAGAAGTCAAACTGGGTGGTTTTCAATGAGTGCATGTGAGTTAGACCTGCCTAGCATGGGCCAATAGAACTGCTGCAGCATTCCTTAAAGCTTGTGTTGTGTTTCTCTTAAGAACGTTAGGAAGAGCACAGCTAATATGCATTATGTGAATAACTTTCCTTTGTGCAGCTAGATATTAATATCTACAGTAAACAACAGATAGTGGTGGCTAGTTACATACTAACCACTGATGGTATAACCTTGATATACCTTTGACGGGTTTCAAGAGTTTTCCTATATCCGAAGCTCGGTCCTGGGCCAGGTTATTAAGTAGCATTACTGTGGTTCTATATAATATAGCAACTAAATATGAAAGCTTGCAAACTGTTCAAGAGAAAAGATTCAAGCAGAGACCAGTACAGAAGCTGAAAATATTCAGGTATTTAAGCAGTGGTAGAACAGTGGGATAAGAAGGAAGAGGATCATGTCACTACTACAATTATTACGAATTTTACAAATATAATAAATACTGAGATGAACATAGGAAACAGCAAAGTGACGAGAGTAACAAAAAAATCTAGGCAATGACAGATTGAATATCAGATTGGAGGGAGTAAATGTGTTCGGATATTTTAGAGCAGACATGTCAACAGATGTGTCTATGAAAGACAAGATGAATCACAGAATAGTTGGTGTGTGTTGAGGTTTGTGTGTGAAGAAAGATATTTATCTTTGGGGGCAAAAAAAAAAAAATAATAATAATATATACAAGAATACAGTGATACCAACCCTGTTATATAAGTGTTAAACATGGGTTTTACACATTGCAGCAAGGAAGAAGCTGGAGGCAGTGGAATGTGTTTAAGGGTGATGTGTGGTGTGAATATTGTGCAAAGATATGGAGGTGGGGTTTGCTAGGGTGGTTTTGGCATTTAGAGAGGATGGAGCAAAACAGGATCACTAGGAGGGTATATAATTCTGAGGGTTGAGGGAAGGGGTGGGTGTATGGGGGTAAAAGAGGTTTCAAGTGCTAGAGGCTTGAACATCCAACAGGTTTGTGTGAATGCATTACATTGGAGTGAGTGGAGATAGGTGGTTTTTTTATGACATGCTGTTATGGTGTAGTCAAGGTAACATTTATGAAGTTATTCAAGAAAAAAAGCTAGGCAGACTTGAGTCCTGGAGGCACAAGTACCTGCACTCTCAAGCAGAGGTAAGTATGAGGCAGACTGGAGAATAAACTAAAATGTGATGTCAGCATGCTTCTGGCAAGACAGTGATTGAATGAATAATGGTGAATGTTTTTCATCTATTTTTTTTTTGGGGGGGGATCACCCTGCCTTGTTATGTTATAAAAAATACTAAAAACAGGACACCACAAGCATAGCTCTGCTTTTCTAAATCCACATAGGAATTTACATGTGCACCTTAATATGTGCTGGACTCACTGTCTTAATGATCTCCTGCTGCCTGAGAAGCAGTCTCTCATGTTCCATCTGCAGGCGCTGTAGCCGTAGTGTTTGTTGCCTGGCCTGCAGAGCTGCTGTTGAAGAGCTCACTGTGGGTGCAATAGGAGGCAACTGATGACTCACTTGCTGTGGTACTACTTGTTGCTGTCCTTGTTGCCCAGTTGGCTGTGAGCCTGCTTGAGAGTGTTGTGGAGGTTGCACACCATTTAACAGAGCTGCTGTTTGTAGATGCCGGGCTGAAAAAAGAAACATATACATGTAATATATATATATATATATATATATATATATATATATATATATATATATATATATATATATATATATAAAATATATATATATATAAAATATATAATTATAAAATATATATATATATATAATATATATATAATATATATATATATATATTATATATATATATATATATATATATATATATATATAAAATATATATATATATATATATATATATAATATATAAATATATATATATAAAATATATATACAGTGGACCCCCGCTTAACGATCACCTCCAAATGCGACCAATTATGTAAGTGTATTTATGTAAGTGCGTTTGTACGTGTATGTTTGGGGGTCTGAAATGGACTAATCTACTTCACAATATTCCTTATGGGAAAAAATTCGGTCAGTACTGGCACCTGAACATACTACTGGAATGAAAAAAGTTCGTTAACCGGGGGTCCACTGTATATATATATATATATATATATATATATATAATATATATTATATATATATATTATATATAATATATATATTATAAATATATATATATATAAAAATATATATATATATAAAATATATATATATATATATAAAAATATATAAATATAAAAATATATATATATATATAAAATATATATATATAATATATATATATATATATATATATATATATATATATATATATATATATATATATATATATATATATATATGCAAAACAACCACTCTGAAAGAATAGAGAAATTCCAAGCGCTTTCGTGACTACTCACATTATCAAGGAACTATGAAAGTAAAGCATCCAAGGAAGCTATATAAGGGGTCTGGCCAGCACCTCACTATCAGATCCCACAACGGTTAAACATGTGATGTGCGGCGACCCAACTTGGATAGGTCCTTTGCACAACTCACCCACAAACTATTCTACCCAAGAAAATTTAAAAATTATTATTTGTCCAGTGTATTATTAAATTCTTCCAAATTCTATTAATTATAAATGGATCTAATTTATATAAACCAAAGGAAATATTCATATTATTGTCAAAACTGCTTTTTATGAAACAAGATTCAATTATATTCCTGTCGACCATGGACTTGCTTGATACTACTTTCTCAACTTTTTGAAAATCAATTGGATGGTTAAAATCTCTTACATGAATAAATAGAGCATTGGAATCTTGTCCAGTTCTAATGCTATATTTATGTTGTTTTAATCTTAGTTCGAGATTTTTACCAGTTTGACCGTAATAAACTTTATCACAAATTTTACAAGGAATCTTATAGACACATCCATCAGCATTTTGGGGGGAATTCTTTATCAAAAGTTTTTTTACTGTATCAAGATTTTTGAATACAACTTTAATATTAAAAGTCTTAAGAAGAGAAGGCATATCAACCAAGTTTTCATGGTAAGGGAGAACCAACATATTTTAGTTGAATAAGGCTGGTTGTCCCTTTTTGGATTATAAAAAGTGTTTCTAGCAACTTTAAAAGATTTATCAATTACATTTCTTGGGTATTTTAAATCATTACCTATTTCATAAATTTTGGATATTTCCTCATCTATGAACTCAGGACTACAAATTCGTAAAGCTCTCAAACATTGATGAGAAAATAGACAGTTTGACTCTATCTTGATGCGAGGAATAATAGTGGACATAGGAACAGTTATTTGTAGGTTTTCTGTAAATTTTAAATTTGAATTCATTATTACCCTTAATAATTAAAACATCTAGAAAAGGCAATGAGTTATTTTCTTCAAACTCAACAGTAAAGTTTATAGAATGGGCTAAGCTATTTAATTTTCCAAGAAAATGGTGTATATCTACATTTTTGGGCATAAGACACAAAATATCATCAACATATCTGAACCATTTAGCTCTATTAGGGAGGATTGTGTTAAGCAACCTTCTTTCAAAAAATTCCATGTATAGGTTACTAAGAACAGGTGAAAGAGGATTTCCCATTGCCATACCAAACTTCTGAGTGTAAAACTTATTATTAAATACAAATTTTGCATCAACAATGCAAAGTTTAATAAGTTTAATGATAGTAGGAACTGGCAATGGTAAATCATAGTTAACGAGTTCTTCAGATAAGAAACTTAATAAATCATCAACAGGAACTTTTGTAAACAAGGAAGTAACATCAAAACTAACCATGTTAAAATCATTTAAGTCAGTCAAGGAGCTTAATTTATCAACTAAGTCTATGTTGTTTTTAACATTAAAGTTAGAAATTTTGCCAACAATAGGGCTCAAAATATCAACAAGCCATTTGGATAATTTATATGAAACTGATCCTATGGAGCTAATAATTGGTCTGACTGGATTCCCTAATAATTGGTCTGACTGGATTCCAAAAAGGGGCAACCAGCCTTATTCAACTAAAAATATGTTGGTTCTCCCTTACCATGAAAACTTGGTTGATATGCCTTCTCTTCTTAAGACTTTTAATATTAAAGTTGTATTCAAAAATCTTGATACAGTAAAAAAACTTTTGATAAAGAATTCCCCCCAAAATGCTGATGGATGTGTCTATAAGATTCCTTGTAAAATTTGCGATAAAGTTTATTACGGTCAAACTGGTAAAAATCTCGAACTAAGATTAAAACAACATAAATATAGCATTAGAACTGGACAAGATTCCAATGCTCTATTTATTCATGTAAGAGATTTTAACCATCCAATTGATTTTCAAAAAGTTGAGAAAGTAGTATCTAGCAAGTCCATGGTCGACAGGAATATACAGTGGACCCCCGCTTAACGATCACCTCCAAATGCGACCAATTATGTAAGTGTATTTATGTAAGTGCGTTTGTACGTGTATGTTTGGGGGTCTGAAATGGACTAATCTACTTCACAATATTCCTTATGGGAAAAAATTCGGTCAGTACTGGCACCTGAACATACTACTGGAATGAAAAAAGTTCGTTAACCGGGGGTCCACTGTAATTGAATCTTGTTTCATAAAAAGCAGTTTTGACAATAATATGAATATTTCCTTTGGTTTATATAAATTAGATCCATTTATAATTAATAGAATTTGGGAAGAATTTAATAATACACTGGACAAATAATTTTTAAATTTTCTTGGGTAGAATAGCTTGGGGGTGAGTTGTGCAAAGGACCTATCCAAGTTGGCTCGCCGCACGTCACATGTTTAACCGTTGTGGGATCTGATAGTGAGGTGCTGGCCGGACCCCTTATATAGCTTCCTTGGATGCTTCACTTTCATAGTTCCTTGATAATGTGAGTAGTCACGAAAGCGCTTGAATTTCTCTATTCTTCAGAGTGGTTGTTTTGCATATTTTGAAATCACCTGTTCAATGTGATCTTATTGCATGCATGCATGCATGCATGCATGCATGTATGTATTATGTATGTATGATGTATGTATGTATGTATGTATTATATATATATATATATAATATATATATAATATATAATATATATATATATAATATATATATATATATATATATAAATAATATATATATATATATATAAATATATATAATATATATAATAATATAATAATATAATAAATAATAATATATAATAATATATAATATGTAAATGTTGTAATTCATGCCTCCTTGAGTTTTTATTTTCTAAAGTACAGTATGTATACTGTATATTGAGAATATTGATACTTACATTATCTCATGAAAAATATAGCCAAGTACATTAACTTAATTAAATATGAACACATTCTTGGAGGAATACACAAATAACCCTCACAAAGAAGAGAGGAGCTTACGATGACGTTTCGGTCCGACTTGGACCATTTACAAAATCACAGTGTGATTTTGCAAATGGTCCAAGTCGGGACCGAAACATCATCGTAAGCTCCTCTCTTCTATGTGCAGGTTATTTGTGTATTGTTCCAGTCACGGTCGATGATTGTACTGGAGTGTGCATAAACTGCGTAATGGATTTTTGTTCTATTTTACCCCGTAGTACATTATACAACTGACAGTAAGGTATCAGCTGCTCTAGACACCATTTCTGAATCCTCTTCAGTGAAAAAATCAGTCAGTCAGTCAGTAAATCAGTCAATTCAGTAAATTAGTAAAGTCAGTAAGTCAGCCAAGTCAGTAAATCAGTCAAGTCAGTCAGGGTGGCAGGGGATGGCAGGAGGTTTTCCCCACTGACCCACAACAAGGCGGCAGCTTGAACTGGTGAAATTTTTTCCGCGCCCACAAACAGAACCATGTACGTAAAGTTAATTTTATGAAGCGTTTTAAAAATTGTGCTGCAATTTTTCAATAGTGCAATAACAAAAACGTGACAAGTAATCAGCGTAATATAACAGTCTGATGTATATAATTACTGGAGAATACAGAGATCATTTACTGCATGAATAACATCAATAAAACATTTAAAAAAAATTGGGAATGCCTCATCACATTTGGAATGTACACTCTCAACCAGAGAACAGATACCTGTAACAATACAGGAGACGTTCATAATTAGTGCGGGTTACATTCTCGAAAATGGTGCTACTGATGATTTCTGTGACTTATGGACTGATAAACATACGGGAAAAATAGGGTTACGTTCCTCAGATCTCAAAGAAACCCAAGGAAATATTTTTTACTACACGTATTATTGTTCTTCAAAAAATAATACTTTTTACTACCTAGTTTTGTTGATAAGCATGCTTTGTGTAATACCAGAACTCTAGTGATGTTCAGACATCCTGAGGTGAGTGGAGAAGGTGGCTGTGGCCCTACTGGACTGAGGCTGATGATATGATGATGAAAGTTAAGGATCTTGGGATGTTGATGCAGCTCCATAAGTTGACTGTTGCAGTGGAGTGTTCAGGTATTCTATTATATGTCACTGGTTTGTTTTACCCTGCAGTTCTTTATTCAGCCCACTGCATATCCTAAACCAGCTAAACCATCCAGAACTAAATGTCTACTCATTTTTGGGCTCTCCTCCCTCCTCACATACTGTTTTACAGTACAAAGCTTTTTCCCCCTAAT